CTGGTTTATCTTCGGATGGCATAAATCTTTTACCTTTTGGAAATCAATGGGAAAGATATCCTCAGGTAAGGATTAACCAAAAAACAAACAAATCTTTCAGGGGGACCTTGGTTTCACGGCCAGTGCCTTCCTTTCCCAAGGGCAGTAGCCAATGGGATGGTGGGAAAAGGGCTTTGAGGGATATGAGAAGCAGATTGGGGGTGGTGAGGGGGTCAGTGCCTGTGCAGGGCCTGAGCGACGCCCCCGGAGACAGCCAGGAGCCTCTATCTTGATGGAGAAGCAGAGATTGGGTGGCCTTGGCCGTACCGGTAACCAAAGCCGTGGGAGTGGACGAGATGGCCCCAGAGAACACGGGAAGAAAAGAGAAGAGGTTTGCCTCCCACAGGGTGCCCGGCGTGACGAATCGTGTGAAGGTTTTCCTGGGGAGAGGCCGTTCCGAGAGCCACAGTCAGCTGAGCCTTGGGCTGAGGCCGGTGCAGATAGTTCTGCTTCCCTCTTCTCCAGACCTGAGTGGAATTTCCATGCCGAGGGATTGTATTGCTCAGCCGTGGGGGTGGGCGAGCAGGGAAGGGCGGAACAGAGTTCACACGGGAGCCAGCCCCAGCGTGAGGGGTCCTGGGGAAGGAAGGTGAGGGCACCTGGGTGAGGGCTTCTGCCTGCCTCAGTCACTGCAGCCACGTGCCCTCCTGGCCCCCTCCCCGCTAACTCTGGTCCCTACTGAAGCCCAGGCAAGGACTGTCCCCCCACTTTACAGATTCAGGAAGCGAGGCTCAGGGAAGAGTGCTGAGAGGCCTCTGCCACAGTGCGAGGCAGCAGCTGACTCAGGATGCATCCAGGCTTCTTCCTAAACATCAGCTGCCCCCTCCCTTCCTGAGGGCAGAGGTGGTGGTCGAACTACTCTGGGGGTGCACTGGATGAGATCTGGCTGCGTAAAGCTGAGGGCATCCCCTCCGGGCTCCCCAGGCCTCCCCAACCCCACAGGAGCTAGGCCGACCCCAATAGCATCCCTATCCCTTACTGTCCCCCAAACCCACGGCTCTGCCCCGACTCAGAGAAATCCCAGCAGCTGCACCGTGTTCCCCCAGCTCCTCGGGGAGCCACGGGCACGGAGACCGCACCACACCATTCCCAGCAATTAGGAGGCCCTGGATCAGTCGATATTCCCAGCAAGCCCCTAATGCATCTCTCTCCTCAGGCTGGAGGCTGGACGCCCTGTGCTGAGGTTAGCATTAAGTGGGGACGGGGGCTGAGGGAGTGGGTGGGAGGCCCAGAGGTAGAAGAAGGGGGTGGCCTGAAACCCTGGGTGCCCCTGGGGTGCAGCCCATGGGCATTTAGAAAGAGGCATCTTGGGGTGAGTAGAGGGGGGGGGAAAGGCGTCTTAGGAGCTCATGTTATAGCCTCAGCTCAGTGCCGCCTCCAGGAAGCGCGGCTGACCCTCTCTGCCCCGTGTTAAGTGCTCAGAGCCTCCTCTTACTCTCTCCGCCATGCGCTGCACTTAACAGCCATGGCAGCCCGTGCTTAAGGGGCAGCAAGCACTCCCTGTACGGGAGCCAGGCAGCACTTTGGGCTTGGTGGGCCATATGGACGCGGCCGTAACCCCTCCGCCCAGCAGTGACGGTTAAAGCTGCCGTAACAATACGTTCACGAATGAGCCTGGCTGCCTCCTAGGAAACGCTGTTTATGGACCCACTGAAATGTGGCTCCCGTTTTCATGTGCCACAAGTGTGTTCTTGTTTGGGTTTTTCTCTTCTCAATCCTTTAAAAATGTAAAAATCGTTCTTAGCTCGTGGGCTATAAGAAATCATTGGCTATGTATGGCCATAGCTACAGGGGTCCTCAAACTTTTTAAAGTGGGGGCCAGATCACGGTCCCTCAGAGAGCTGGAGGGCCGGACTATATGAACTACTAATTCCTACTGTAACACCTCGGCTGCACTCACTGCCCAAAAAACCTGGCGGGCCGGATCAGACTCCTCTGCGGGCCGCATGTGGCCCGCGGGCCGTAGTTTGAAGACGCCTGCTAGCACGTAGAATGCACCCGACCTCGTCTGACCTCGGGAGCTAAGCAGGGACGGGCCCGGTGAGCACTTGGGTGGGATTCAAAAATAGGTGGCCAGCTGGATATGGCCCCCGGTCAGAGCAAGGCGGCCGGAGCCAGACTACCTGGCTCTGCTGGGTCACCTGCGGCGAGCGGCTGAACACTTCTGTGCTCCAGACCCCTCAGGGGTGCCAGGGAGATGGTAATGATAGTGCTCTGAGATGTAAAACGGGGCAGCCGCTGAGGGAAGCAGCTCTTGGCGGTTCTTCAAAAGGTTAAACCATATGACCCAGCAATTCCAGCCCAAAGTACTGACTCGAGAGAAATGGAAACACATGGAAACCTGCTCACAGCAGTGTGGTCCATAATGTTAATGTAAAAAGCAGCAGCACTGAGACCTGTGAAGAATTTCTGTGAGTTTATTTGAGCCAAATTGTCGACAATTGCTGGGAAGCAGAACTGAGATAAAGCTTCGGAGAATGGCAGGTTACATCTGTATTTATACATTGCAACCAAAGGAAGGGAAGGGACATAGGTGGGTTACATGAAATCCACTGGTGATAGATTAGAGAGGCAGGAGAAAGAAAAGTGGGGGGCGTGGGGTGGAGAGACACTTGGGATTAGATTAAAAAGTAAAATGATGGAATGATGGACACATACTTAGGTGGGTGCAGGAACAATTAAGACGATAATGAAGGAATTTGTGGTATCTGTCCTGGCACCCAGCACATTTGGTTGTGCCCCAGGATGTCCAGAAAAAAAGGAAGTTACAAGTTACCCAAGGGTATGTTGTTGTTTTTTTAAAATACATATTTTATTGATTTTTTACAGAGAGGAAGGGAGAGAGATAGAGAGTTTGAAACATCAATGAGAGAGAAACATCAGCTGCCCCCTGCACACCTCCTGGGGTTGTGCCCGCAACCAAGGTACATGTCCTTGACGGGAATCGAACCTGGGACCCTTCAGTCTGCAGGCATATGATCCATCCACTGAACCAAACCGGTTAGGGCAAGGGTATGTTATCATATATGCAAAAAGGCAGATAAGCTCAGTTAAGGTAAAGGTTGACCTTGTCAGTGAAGATACCGTCCTAGGACGTAACTACCCACCATAACTGCTTTTAGTTAAAGTTTAATTTCAGACCATCCTTTGTGGCTACTTTAAGTCTCTGAGTTTGCAAGACGGCCATGCAGGTCAGCATGTGGCCCCTTCCGTCCACAGTAACAACCACAAAGCAGTAACAACCCAAATGTCTATCAGCTGGCGTGTGGGTAAAATGGTATATCTGCACAATTGAATATTCTTCAGCTGTAAAAAGGAGTGCACTGATTTATGCTACAGCATGGATGATCCTTACAAACATTATACTAAGTGAAAGAAGGAGTCACCAATGGCCGCATATTGTATGATTACATTTATATGAAATGTCCAGACTTGGCACATAAATAGAGACAGAAATTAGATTAGTGATTGCCAGGGCGTGGGGGGGTGGTAATGGGGTCGGTAGGGGGTGGACGGGGTGAGGATGGGGTTTTTGCTGGGATGATGACAATGCTTTAGAATTAGTTACAACTCCGTGACTATCCTAAAAGCCGAAAATGCTCAATACTAAATTGTACACTTTAAAGGGGTGACTTTTATGGCGTGTGAATTAGATCTCAATAAAAAAAATAAATAAATAAACAATGATAACACGCACGCAGTAGGTTGCTGTTAGAGTTAGGATATGAACAGCACTTGGAATGGCGCCTGGAGCCTAGTGTGGGCCTGCTCGTCCCCTCGCTGGTCCTGTGAGGGCCCTTAGGGGTCACCGTGTCTGTCCTGTCCACATTGTCTCCAGAGCCTTGGACAGGGTCTGGTGCAAAGCAAATGTCTTCGGTGTCTAGAATCCATAGACCAGAGGTTGAGTCCCGGCTCCTTGGCTAAATCATTTGCTGCTCTGAGTCTCACACTCCTCATCTTTAACATGGGACAATGAGCCTAGCCGATTTGGCTCAGTGGATTGAGCATCAGCCTGTGGCCTGAAGGGTCCCAGGTTCGATTCTGGTCAAGGGCACATGCCTGGGTTTCGGGCTTGATCCCCAGTGGAGGATATGCAGGAGGCAGCTGATCAGTGATTCTCATCATTGATGTTTCTATCGCTCTCTCCCTCTCCCTTCTTCTCTGCAATAAATAAAAATATATATATTTTAAATATATATATTTTTATTTATTGCAGAGTCTCAGTTTGTTCAGTTGTCAGACGGGGTTGGGACACACAGTGCTTTCCACCTGGGACAGTGAGATGGAACGATGGTTATAAAATGTTCAGCCAGGGCCTGGGAGGTTTTACATGCTCTGTACATGTCAGCTTTTATGATAGTTCATTTTATTTCATTTACTTTTTATGGTAATTTATTTTAAAATACTTATCTGGAACATTCTGCGTGCTAGGCTCTGTTCTAGCTACTGGGCATAGAACAGAGAACAAAGCAGACAAAATCCTTGCCTTTGTGAAACACACATCATAGTGGGATAGGCAGATGAGAAACAAAGAAAGTAAATTATGGTCGAGAAAATAAAGCTAAACGTGGCTGAGCAGTTGGGGAAGGGGTTGCAGTTTCACGGAAGATGACCTGGGGCCGTCTGGTGGAGACAGACGTTTGAGCGCAGAGCTGAGGAGAGGAGGGGAAGGAGGGAGCCGTGCGGGTCCTACGGGAAGAGGCCTCCAGGCAGAGGAGGCGGCAGCAGTGTGCAGGCAGGTTGGCTGAGGGGTGGGGTATGGGCTAGAGCAGGGGAGGGTGGCAGGGGACCGTCCTGGGAGACCTGCAGGGTGGGCCTCTGACTCCAGGGGGGCCTGGGACCCCCTGCAGGGGTCTGTGCAGAGCTCACCCACCCTGACCTCAGCTGCAGTGACGTTTGCTGTGTCTGGGGCCGCCGCCTCCCCCCTCCCCTGCCTCACTGCCTTGTGCTTTCTCCCACAGAACCAGCCTGGGCCCCCCATGGGCTCCTGAGGGCCGGGCACCAGGGCCTCGGGCACGAGCATGGTAAGACACCAGCCCCTGCAGTACTACGAGCCCCAGCTGTGCCTCTCCTGCCTCACGGGCATCTACGGCTGCCGCTGGAAACGCTACCAGCGCTCCCACGATGACACCACACCGGTGAGCCACACTGGGGCCCGGTCGAAAGGACCCAGGGAGCCCCAGAGTTGGGGATGGGGGGATAGGGAATGGGGGAGGGGTGTCAGCTCTGTCACTCTGCTCTGTGGCTCTGGACAGGTCAGTGCCCCTTCTGGGTTTCACTTCTCCTGTAAAATGGGCCCACGGCCATTCTTGCATCTCTCTGAGCAGGCGGGGAAGGCCGTTCTGCCGTGGGAATACCCAGGTGTTAGCGCTCTTCGGACAGCAGGGGGGCTGGTCTGCTCCCGAGGTCTGGGCAGGGGGGCGCTCCCGGAGGAAGGGGTCACCCCAAGGTGAACACAAGTTCTCAGCCTCCTGGCAGATCCAGGCGGGCGGGCCTGCAGGTGGGGGTGCCGGAGGGGAGGGTGAGGAGGTGGGCCAGGCCATCGGGAGCCTGGGAGCCAGCAAGGCTGCGGCCTGGCACCGGGGCCCTGTCACCTGAGCCGCGGGCCTGCCAGGGCTGGCAGCAGGTGCTCAGCCGGATAAGAAAGCCTCCTTCAGTGTTGGCTCCCCAGCCGGCTCCGGCTGCACTTCATCCCGGGCGCTATCGGCCGGTGAATCTAGTTTCTTTTCTGAAGGAACCCAATTCCTTTAAGAAGGCATAGAGAGGGGGAGATAACTCGTGTTTATCTAAGAGCTCTGCTGCCTGAAAAAACAGCTTTCTTCTTCCTTCCTTGTTTGCACAAAGAAGCCAGCTTCCAAAGCCAGCTAGCCCCCACACAGGCGGGAGTGGCCAAGGGTAGGGGTGGCGGGCGGCCAAGGTCGGGCTGGCATCTCAGGGCTACCTGGATTGGCAGGAGTGGGAGAGGGCTGCGCAAGTTTCCCCCTGTCTCGTCTGCTTCTCTGCTTGTGACCGTGAGGGACGAATTGCTGCATGAGTCAGGAGCCTGGGCTCATGGCCCCCAAGTGGCGAGAAGCAGGTACCTGGTGGGTACCTGGCCTGGTTCATGGTCATGGCCCCATTCCCAGCTGAGAGGCAGCATGGCAGACGGAGGCACAGGAGAGGAAAGGGTCTGCCCAGGTCACACAGCAGGTGCCCACACGGCCTGGGGGGGTGGGCAGCCCTGCTTGGGACAGCCTTTCCGTCTTCGGTGCAGATTGTGAGGTCAGGAGTCAGGCAGACCTCAAGTTCAAGTTGTGCCCCTTCCACTTGTCCTGCCGATGTAAGAAACGTCCAAACCTGGAGAGAATTGTAATGGACTTTATTTGAGCCAAACGGACAGCAGCGCTGGGAAGCGGGGTCTCCTGTGCTATGGGGACGGCCTTGGAAAGTTTCTCCTGTGCGTTCAGAAGTAAGGAGGGAGATTACGTGAGGGCGGGAGAAAGCGAGGCCGGCGTTGGCCTGCAGGACCGTTAACAAGACCCTGTGCTCCCTGAGGGTTATTCCCACTTCCCAGGGGTCGGAAACAGGCATTTCAAACCCGCGTTAACCCAGATGCACAGGCTCGCTGGAGGCAGAGGCACCTTTTGCTGAAGGAGTTGGGAGCCGGGTGTGACTGCGCCGGTCCGCCCGGTGAGGAATGTGCGATGAGATCACCCCGAGGTTACTGCCGGTTAGGCTGACAGTGCCCCTCTGTTGTCCACAGTCTGCACTTGACTGTGAGCTTTCTCACCTACGAATAGCACTGCCCCCGCTCCAGGGCCTGCGGGGCGGGTGCACGCGATAGCGACGTGAAGTGACAGGCTCGGTGCTGGCGGTGACCGGTCAGGCAGAGCAGAGATTGCTGAGTGCCCGCCTCGGCCTCTCCACTCTGCATGGAGGAGGGGGAGGGGGAAGACTTTAGAACCCCCAGGCCACTCCGCCGTGCTCTGGACCCCATTTTCCCCCAGGCTGGGCCGGCAGCAGGGCCTCCCGAGTCAGAACAAGCAGACGGAGGGCGGCAATCGCTTCACCCGTGTGTCTGGTGCCAGGCGCTGTGCTGAGCACTAACATGCCTGTCACGGCCACCCTTTCTTTCTCTTTCTTTCTTTTCTTTTCTTTTCTTTCTTTTTTTTTTTTTTTTTTTTTTTTTTTTGAGTTTTTGTTTGAAAGTCAGCCTATTCCCCTGGCCTATAACTAGACAACCTGTGACTCGAATCCTCTTTGGGGTGAGGTTTTTGACTCAGGGTGCCTGGTTGTAAGGTGGGTGTTAACATCTATTTGCCCATTTACATGGCCAAGCCCTGGGGAGACGGGGTGGGGCAGGGATAAGCCAGAGAAGTGGGCTTCACAGAAAAACTTGACCCCAGCTGGCCCTAGCTGGCTGTCTCTCTCCCCCCCCCCCCCCCCCCCCCCCCCCCTCTCCCAGGCCACAACCATCACTTCACTGGGGGAAACAGAAGCCAGGCTGTCAGTGCCTTGGCCCAGGTCATACCAGCCAGTAAGGGGCAGAGCCCAGATCTGACCCCAGGCAGTGCAGGTCGAAAGCTCTCGATAGGGCTGGGGAGACAGCTGAGGCGAAGGAGAGGAGAGAATGGCTGAGCTTCCACGCAGACAGCTCCTTGGGGGTCGCAGGAGACCCCGGAGAAAGGTGTGTCTCCAGAGCACACCCTTTGGGGGGCGCGGGCCAGCCGGTCCCCGGCCCTGGAGTCAGGAAGTGGTGGGTCCTGGTGGTGGCCCGCACTGGGCCCAGAGTGGAGGAAGTGGGGCTGAGGCCAGTTTTGAGCTGACTGGGAGCCTACGTGGTGCAGGCTCTGCAAACACCAAAGGCTGGGGCCAGGTGTGGGGCAGGAGCAGGAAGGGCTGCAGGAGGTCTGAGCCAGCCGGCTGGGAGAGGGCAGAGGGCTTTGCAGCAGCTCGGGGTGGCAGAGCCTCTGCAGAAGGGCTGAGCTCCCCTGGGGCGACCCTGAGACTCCGGGCTGAGGAGCATCCACCCGCTTCCCTGTCACTCACTCTGCTCCTGCTTCCCCTCCCACTTCCGGGGCTCGGCCTGCTCACCCTGTTCTCCCCCGGTCCCTCAGAGACAGCTGGGTGAGGGGTGTGACGGGTGCTGGCTCCCCGGCCTGACCCAGTGACGGGAACAGCCACCTGGTGTCTCAGAGCCCGGGCTGGTGCCCAGAAGGTGCTCTGGACATTTTGCCGAACCAATGGAGGGTCTGAGTGAGCTCTGGGGCACAGGCTGGGCAGAGCGGGGAGAGCCGCTAGGGCTGGGGGTGAGGGAGAGGCCTCCGCAAAGGGGCGGCGTCCCACTCTGGGCCTCTGCCTCTCCTCATCCCCACCGCGCCCGCTCCTTTGGGGGCTGGCCCAGGCACGCCCTCCCCTCGGGTCCTCTTAGGGGAGCCCCCCCAGAACCTCCCAACCTAGAAGCCTGGGGTCCAGTTCTTCTGTGAAACCCACTTCTCGGGCCTCATCTGTGTGAAACAGGGTGGCAGACGGGTGGTGAGGCAGAGGCGCTGCGGTCCCGGCTGCGGAGTGGAGTGTGAGGCTGACCGTGAACGGGTACCGAGCACCTGCTGCATTGGGGAGCACATGGCTTACACGCCCTGCCCTGTTGGCTGTTGTAACACCCTTGTGTGTGTGTGGGGGGAGGGGTGGGGGGGTGTTTAGTTGTTATGCCCCACTTATGGGTCAGACACACCCGCAGCGTCACTCCTGAGTCCGGGACAGATTTGCAGCCAGAGCCTCAGGAACGTGGCGGCTGTGGGGAGGAATCCTGCGTTCTGAGGCCAGGTGCGTTTTCCACGAGAGCTTGGGAGAGGGAAAAGAACGGGAGGGCGGAGAGGACGGACGTGGGAAGTTGCCTGGTGCAGGAGAAAACGCACTGGACCAGGAGCGTTTTTGGACAAGATGGGGAGCGTCTTCCCTGCCTCGTGAGGGACCCTCTGTGCTGCCCTGGCTGGGGCCTGGCCCTGCAGGACGGGAGTGGAGCCCCGGGGAGGGTGTGGGGTGGGGGAGCTTGGGTAGGAGCCCCCTCCCCACTGTCCAAGCTGGCCTCCTTCCTTCCGGCCCCACGCCTCGGCTCACGTGGTCCCCTCCCCGCAGGACACACACTTGACAAATAAGGAAACAGGAAACTGAGGACCAGAGAGGTGCAGGGAGCTGCTCTCCTGCCTCAGCTCAGCGGGCTGAGAAGGGGAAGCAGAGCCTTTTATGCCCGGGGCCGATGAATTGGTTGTTGTTTGTGACTCAGTACTCCAGTGAGGGCCTCGGTGGACAGAGGACCGTTCCCAGGCCGCGCCCACGGGGCCCCCTGAAGGCTGTGCAGGGTGGGAGGCAGCCCGGTGTCAGAACCAGCTTCTCTGTAGCAAGAGGGACACCGGTCAGATGCCTGGAGGAACATCCCAGCCCAAGACACCGAAGGTGACAGGGACCGTCTACCCTTGTCCTCTGTAGTCAGCCTGCCCTTTGAAGGCTGTTCTGAGGCTGTTTGACCCGTCCATCTTAAGGATGGGGCTCCAAGGAGACTAAGTGATTGATTCAAGCTGAGGAGGTACAGGCACGCCCTGTACAGCCCCTGCTGGCACCCCCAGTCGTGCGTCCGCTCCCCACTTCCACACCAGTCTTGTCTGGGAGGCACTGGTTACTTGTCCAATCAACAAACCATCATGATACCTGCGCCGGGCCTGGAGGTCACAAGTGTGTCAGACCTGGCCCCCCTCCCCTGAAGGGCCCCCAGGCAGGCAGGGGAGCAGACAGACAAGAACGGACACACCCAGACCACCCAGGGGATGGCTGCCGAGGCCAGGAAACCCCAGGCAGGAACGCTGGCCTGAGCCGGTGCCAGATGGGGGCCGGGCAGGGAGCTGAGGGTACCGTGTCCTGCACTTGGGAACCGAAAGCATTTGGCTCCGGTGTGAGGAGGGGAGGGCGCTGCCTGCGGCTGGGCTGGAGAGCCTGAGCAGCGGGAGCCCAGGCAGCCTCAGGCTGTGCAAGGGCCACGGTGGTTAAATCTCGGAGAAGGAGTGCTGAGGGGGCTTCGTGGAGGTGAGGAGGGCAGGGAACCCAGTGAGAACCTGGGGGTAGAAGGATGCAGGGAGGGTGTGAAGGGCGGGATCTAGAGACA